AAAAAATTATTCTATTATAATTTAATAAATTACATAAATTAATTAAAATAAACAACTTATTAAGGGTAAATTGATTATTTTACTTGTTATGTTCTGTCCAGTTTTATGTTATTAAATGTTGAACAATTGTTTTATTTTATTCGGTCTTATTATATCTTATCTTGTATGAATACCAAACACACCCTAAATGTAATACATTTTAATTTTGATTTCATTATTTAAAAAATATATATAAATAAAGCGTATTTAAAACTAAACTGACCTGTCAGGTATTATGGTCATGCGATGATGTAGGAATTGAATACCATGACGTATGGTGGTCCCACATTTATATCTAGAAGCGGTACCGTACAATTACGTGTCCATTTCCTTGAATAGCTTTTTTTTTCCTTTTTCTTTATTTGGTTAATTAAATAGATCAAATCTCATAAAAACATGTATAAATTTACCTTTCTTTTTATTTTATTCTTTTTTTAAATTAAAATTAAAACATCCTTTCGTTAAACAAAACTATGTTGAATGTAATAAAAACATCTGCAGTCATTATCTGAACAATCAGATCGTGAATAGAACAAAAAAGAATTTAGCAGAAGAAGAAAAAATAGAAATAGATAACCAATCTTTTATGATCGATCTCACTCGACAATCCGGGATTGAGCACCTTTTTACTAACTGAAATTGATGTGTGGCATTTTCCTATTGGTTGGTTTAATTTTTTTTAAAATAAAACTTACCTAATTAAAAAATATACCAAAATTCATAGTTTTCAATTCCTTATAAATAGAGACGTCATTGATATATTTTCATACTTAATTTTGTCAATTGTTTTATTTAATTTCAGTTGTATGATAAGTTTTTTTATAGTTATAACAAGGGATAGCCGTGTAACCCGGGGAAGTGCCGATGACGCTAAGACCTTAACCTGACGGGAAATTAAGAGATCTCATTATTATTTCAAAAGGGTTTGAAACAAATGTGCATATTATTTTATTTGGGGCATTGTTTGTTTTATGCATGATGAGGTGTGTATGATTGTGCATAAAAACCATGAACTCACCGAGCTTTATAAAGCTGACTATTAGTATGCATCTCAGGTGCAAGAGGTTCAAGGATGGACAAGAGCGAGGTTCTCTCCTAGATAATTAWATTATTATGTTTCGGATGTTTAGGTTTATGCTTAAACTCAATTTGTAATGTAACCCGGTATGGGACGGGTTAGCGTTGAGTTATTAATTTTAATTGAATTTGTAAGACTTCCGCTGTAATAAGGCTTTATTAGCCWCTATATTTTGGGGTTATTTATTGTTATTTGATGAGAATGACGTGACACAACTCATGGTGAAAATGAGGGTGTTACAATATCAAACTTTGTAATTGGTCCAAAATCAAAAAAAAAAAATGTGAAAAAAATTATTATAATCATGAGGTATATTATGAGAATTTTTTTTATCATAATACATATCAATTTATCTCCTACATATATTCTTTAAAATATTTATATTCACTAAGCAAACATTGTGTTGTTACCTACTTTAATATAATTATTGAATATTTTTTGTAATTTACTTATATTAGTTCATGATATACTCATGTAATCTTTCATGGGCCAAAAACCTTCTTGAAATCCATTTTTTTCTACATGCAATTGCACAAAGTGGGATTATAATAGCTAATATTATGACCATTCCAGATACATAAGAGTTTGATTGATTTGTTGTTTTAGACAGTTCATAGTTTGTTTTTTCTGTAAAAAAAATCCTGAAAAATGAGGTTTTTAATAAAACCATGTAAAATAAAAGATATGTATTATATTGATTATATTTTTAATTATATATAGAGTTTAAATAAAAAAAATTGATTATATATATATATAACTATAATTTGATTCTATCTTTTATACCCATTATTGTATTGGTTGTCATCAGGTTTTAGTTATATGTTGATTCTAATTTTAATTTAATATATTTGATTGTCATAATTTTCTATTTTACGTATTATAATATATTATATGTTAATTTTAATAATTATTTTATATTTATTTATTTTAATTAGTTTCTTAAGTGATATTTAAATATAATAAGTATTTCATTTATTAATGAGTTAATAATAAGTATTGAATTATGTACATTGATTATAATCTTATTTATATATTAATTTTGATTTCATTTATATCTATATATTGATTTTAACTTATTAGTAAGTTTTTTTAGTTTTATATATTGATACAAATTTTGTATATTAATTGTAATATGACATATTTTATTTTACTTGAAAATAGTAAAAGTCAATATATAAGGCGTATAAAAGAAAAATAATTTAAACTTGTATGATCAAGCATTTAATAAATATATTGTTTCCTAGATAATATGATATATATATATATATATATATATATACATGTAAAGAAGAAATCAAGTGATGGAGAGACTGAAAAAAGTTTACTTGGTTTTTTTTGTTGTTGAATAATAATGGTTTGAAAAATAAAGAATACTTCAAATGATAGAGAAGAAGAAAAGGAGATCTATTGATGGACAAATCATAGAGGAGCACATGGAAGGATTTGGATGTTTCACCTCCAAGAATGAAGATGAAAAGGTTGTAGGATAAACTTTTAAAAATTATCAAAACAACTTTATCCTGATGAATTTCATGTTTTAAATATAGGAACGGGAAAGTCTTTTACATATATCAAATATTTTAAAAAAATTATTAATCTAAGAAAAAAGAATGATACGTTTCTAATGTTTCGAGGATGACACCTTATTATGTTTGGTTTCTACTTTAATAAATAAAAATATTATAATATAATTTTCAAGCCCAATGCTAAAGAAGGAAAAAAATCGCAATAGACCGATCAACATCGATGTCCTAAAAATCATATGAAAGATTACCGATCTTAAAAAATCATAAACCATCTTTCTTGATACACTCTTCTAGCATCAATGCAAAAATATTCTAACATAATGTTTATCAAGTTTATGGATAAACAAACAAAAAAAATACTTATTTTTATGTTCTACATATGCTTAAAAAATGTTATCTTATTTCATGAATGATTCATATATCACTTTATCCACACAAAAAAAGATTCATATGCTTGCATAATTCCAATTCTAGTGTGAATATCTCCAATTAAAAGACGAAGTACTATACTTACATCAACAAAAACTCATATCATATATGTCTTCTTGAATGATGCCTCAAATCAATAAAAATGCAAATCACATCCACAAAAATTGAATAGAGGAAGAATTAAGAGATTAAGAGAGATTGTTATGCTTAAACAATGTTACCTTATTTCATCAAGGATTTATATGCCACTTTATCAACACAAAAAATATTCATATGCCTACATAATTTTAGCTTTAGTGTGAATGTCTCTGATTAAAAGACGAAATACTATACTTACATAATCAAAAACTCATACCATGATTTGTCTTATTGAATGACGCCTCAAATCAACAAAAATACAAATCGCCTCCACAAAATTATAAATGAATAGAGATGAAGAATTGAGAGATTAATAGATAGATTATTATAGAGTTATACCATGAAGAGAAGATGAAAAATTATAACCGAAAAGAGAGAAATAATGAGAGTTAAAAGATCAATTATTAGAGAGAACATGAGTAGGATGAAGTAATTAGTGAATATCAAAAATCAAAAATAAATATTGAGGTGAGAAAAGCTTGAGAAAAGGAGAGAAATGATAAAGCATTTTCTAGCTTTAAGAAAAGGCCACGACATTGCACGTGCTTTCTTCTTTAATATATATATATATATATATATATATATGTCGTCAGTTAAAAGATGAAATACTATACTTACATAAGCAAAAAAACTCATACCATAATTTGTCTTATTGAATGACGACTCGAATCAACAAAAATACAAATCGCTTCCACAAAATTATAACTGAATAGAGAGGAAGAATTGAGAGATTAATAGATAGATTATCATAGAAGTATACCATGAAGAGAAGATGAAAAATTATAACCGAAAAGAGAGAAATAATGAGAGTTAAAGATCAATTATTAGAGGGAACATGAGTAGATGAGAAAAACTTGAGAAAATGAGAGAAAAGATAAAACATTTTCTAGCTTTGAGAAGATGCCACGTCATAACACGTGGTTTCTTCTTTAATATATATATAGATTACGTTTTAAAATATGCAATAATCTGTTTTATTTATTTTTATATTTAAAATTAAAAAATAATTATTATATAAGATAAATATATATATATATATATATATAATTTTTACAAAATTATATTTTAGATTGGATTGGATCACGATTAAATGAAAAAAGACATGAAATTGGATTGGAGTTGAAGATTGTATAGGTTTATGAGAAAAAAGTAATATTTTAATTGAGATTGGGTTGAAAGGGATCGTGAGTAAACATAGTCTAAAAAATTTTAAATAATCAAGTTAGATAAAAACAGATGTTTTCTTTTCATGAAATTTAATATCCATATGAGTATATATTTTTTTATTTTTTACTAAGTTTATTGTATTTTTGTAACATATGTATCAATAAATATACAAATTCATAAAATAATATCAAGATAAACGAAACATAATTAAATCGTGTTGCATTGGTGCAAGCACTTCTACGAACGACAAGTACGTGCATGTACCAATACATCCAAGTGAATGTTTGTGACTGACACAACGTTTTTCAAAAAGACTCGGAAAACTACGATGCATGCAATATTCTATCTCACGTTCATGCATGCATAAATGCTCACTTACTATCGTAAATGTTGAAAGTTACTCAACGATTAAGTGGATTAAATATCGTTATAGATGGTGATACCAATAACGCTACAATAGAGTATTCATTAATGTTATCAATCCTCGTGGTTTTAGTTTACAGACATGATTTTTGGTTTCGCAACATGAAGCTTTTTGGCATATGTACATGTGCAAGACATGTATCTATTTTTGCAAGTGCCATGACTTCGTTTTGAGGAGCACCGGCAAGTCACTACGACAAGATGTCGAGAGTTATGTGAAACGATCCTCCACCTGATCTTTCATTGTCCTAGTAAACTCTATCCACGGATTACGTATTTATGCTTAGAGTTGTTTAATAAACATGGAAACCTACCCCTGAAAGAGCTAGATGAGTTATTGTATTTGATAACCTAACGCCCTTCTGTATAAACATCAGATTCAACATTTTTCAGCTATTTTGATAGTTGACGTTGTGAATATATCCCACATGCAGGTAGGCATCGTCATTCTTCTCAATTATGTGATGGGCACTCCTAGCTTTGTGATCTCCCGACATTACATAAATAAGTTATCAAGCGATCGTGTAATGATTGATCCAAGAACAGCGATTGATTACCATCTTGTTGTAAAGATGAAATGGAGCAGGCTCTTGTATAAATGAAGAAAATAACAGTAGATAATAAATATTATTTAACACTATTTTAAGTGAAGTGTGTCTGTGAATCTTGTTTGCTCCTCACGAGTTATCTCATCATTTTACTTACGTTTCTTTTATGACTTACATACACGTCACTCAACCATGATCGCTAAAAATACGCCTAAAACTCGAACATAACATAAAATCGATAAATCAGTAAACGATCTAACTTGATCGTCGAGATCTTGATCCATATTTCCTAAAAGATGCTTAAATAGCAAAGTTACAATGTTTACCCTTTTATTCATTCCAGATTTATTTATATATTTTATTCACCATAATTACACACACATATAAATATATAGAGGTGTGTTATTATACAATCTTTCATATTTGTACAATCAATACAACTCAATCTCAACCGTTCATTTAATTTGATGAATATGCGATTTTATAGAAGTTTTGATTGTTTCCTAATATAAAGTATTGATTATAATTAATTAACTTTATTCATCTTCCATAAATATTCAAATCATAATAAATGAACTTTCATCATTTTCACAAATATCTTAATTTATTGGGTTGCATTGGTGGTACAAATGTGATGAGTTGTATTTGAAACAAACTCTCTCTTTCTCTCTCTACACACACACACACGCACACACACACACATATATATAGGTGAGTTATTATACAACCTTTTACATTTGTACAACCAATACAACTCAATCTCAACCGTCCATTAAATTTGATGAATATGTGATTTTATAGAAGTTTTGATTGTTTTCTAATATAAAGTATTGATCATAATTAATAAACTTTATTCATCTTCCATAAATATTCAAATCATAATAAATGAACTCTCATCATTTCCATAAATATCTCAATTTATTGGATTGCATTGGTTGTACGAATGTGATGGGTTGCATTTGAAACGAACTAACTCTCTCTCTCTCTCTCTCTCTCTCTCTCTCTCTCTCTATATATATATATATATATATATATATGGTATATTTCAAATGCAACTATGTCCATTTATACATCCAATATAACCCAATTAATTAAGATATGTATGGAAATAATGAAAGTTTATTTATTATGATTTGAATATTTATGAAAAATAAATATAGTTCATCAATTATGATTAATACTTTATATTATGAAAGAATCAAAACTTCTATAAAATCACATATTCATCAAATTAAATAAACGGTTGAGATTGAGTTGTATTGGTTTACAAATGTAAATGGTTGTATAATAATTCACCTCTATATATGGTATATTTCAAATGCAATCATGTCTATTTGTACAAACAATACAACTCAATTAATTAATTAAGATGTTTATGTAAATGATGAAAGTTCATTTATTATGATTTAAATATTTATGAAAGATGATTAAAGTTCATAATTCATATGATATATTTCAAATTAAAGTTATATAATTATATATGTACTGTTACAAAGAAAAATAATTGATTAATTATAGTAAATATATGATTATTATATCATGAAAATTAATCAATCAATCATATTTGAAATAATTATTTCAGGCTCAATCGTTTAACTATTCAAAAAAATGTAATGACTTAATCAATCAACATAAAAAAAGTTCAACGACTTATACAATAAAAAAATTCAAAAACTTAATAATTCAAAATAAAACAATTTCTTTAATATTTTGAACTTTTTTCTTAATTTAAATTCAATGCAAATGATTTCTATAAATATCTCATCAATAAAAATAACTAATTAATTATAAAAATTAACTTTTTTGAATTAAACTATTTTAAGTTCT